CAGGAAAGAGAGAGAGAAAGAGAGAGAGAGAGAGAGAGGAAGAGAGAAAGACAGGAGAGAGGAGGAAGGATGCAAGCTATCACTGAGGCTCCCTGCAAGCCCCGACCTCGCCGCTGGACCCGCAGCAGTTGTTGTCCCAGCCAGCGTCCCCGTCGCGACGCCTTCTAGATCGTGGAGGTTCGGTCAACACCATCTGCAAGCAGGAGGAAAAGAGCTTCAGGAACAGCCCCAGAGAGCAGCTGCCCATGTTGCGACAGGACCTCTTGAGACGGGGAAAGGGGATGGACCACCAGAGCAACCCCACCTCCCCTGCCCACAGCCCGTGCCCCAGCGGGACCAACCCCACTTCCCCAGCGGGTCGCAGAAGGGTTTTAGGGATGTCAAGACTCTGCCAGTGCCTCTGTGTCACTGTCTGCCCCCACCCCACAGCAGCCCCCCCAAGCCCTCCTGAGTCACCATCCCAGCACCAGTCCAGGCCCTCTGCCATGTCCTCACAGCACCTTTCCCAGGATCAAAGGGGGTTTCAGGGCAGCTGGGTCTTGCCACAAGCTGGGCGTTGAGTCTGGGACACCCCTACGGTGGGACGAGTTCATGACCAGGAATGGGGAAAACAGGGATGGAAACCATCCTGGGGGCTGCCTTGCCCCCCCAGCTAACCCAGCCCTGCAATGCCTGTGCCACAGACAATGCATAACCTTCTTCCACCTAAAAACCATGGGAGGAAAAAACCAAACCCCAGGGGTTGTTTCTGCCTCCCCCATGCCCCAGTCCCCAGTGTCCCACGACAGCAGGGATGGATCCAGCCACAGCCCCGATCCCAGGAGTAGGGGGGTCCACGACCAATCCCAAAGCAGAACAAACAACCCCCCTACCAGCAGCCCCCTTTCCTCCACCCCCTGGTACACCAGCAGCTCATCTGGGGCCAGGAACCAACACCCCAACCCTCCAGCCCTCCCCCAGCCCCAAACCCCCCATCCCAAACCCCCATCCCTGGGATGGAGAGCAACAGAAGGGGCGGGGACGGGGTGCAGCTCCCAGGGCAGCCCCCAAACACAAGCATTCCTGTTCCACAACCCCCGGGGGCATCAACCCTCCTCGAGACTGAAAACAAACAGGTTTGTTACACCTTTTTTTTTTGCATTTTGTTGTTTTTTTTTTCCTCCCCTGAAAAGGTTTATTTTTTTTTTAAGAGCTGTTTATTGCACAACCAGTTGGGAGAGGCTC